CAGGGTTTTTATTTTTAATTGAAGCTTGTGAGATTAATTTTTCCTCGCTGATGCTGTCTGAAAAATGTGCCAGTATTGATACACATGCTTGGCGGCACATCAGTGTTGGACCTGCTCCTTCCTTCTATAAACAATGCATGTTCCCATTCCTTCAGGGCTCATGGTTGCCAGTTGCTGCTGTATGTGATCTTTTCTTGTTTTGTGTTGCTTCTAATGTCGTTTCTAAAAATACCATTAAAAGCATCCAAAACCTCATTAAAAATGTATTTAAGCTTCACTGGTGAGGGGAAAGAAAAGTCAAGCCAGCAATGAGATCACACACACACACACACAGTGTCAGTTTGTTATTCAGCATTGGTGAGAGGAAAAACAAGTTGCCAGCTCGATTGTGGACAGATATTTAGTGTTTTTACTTTTTACATACTCTTACATTTTCTCTCTCGCTCTCCCTCTGACAGTTAATAAGCACAAACCGTGGATTGAGACAACGTACCATGGGATCGTAACAGAAAATGACGACAAAGTTCTTCTGGACCCTCCTCTGATTGCACTGGACAAAGATGCTCCTCTACGCTACGCAGGTGAGAGAGAGCGTTTAATGCTGCTGCATCTGTTCCTTAACGAGAATTATTCTTTTCACACCAAATTACAGAAAACATCCGCTAATTAGTCTGTACCTTTTGAGCTTTGTGACATTATCAAGTATTATGGATGCAGGAAAAACTGCGGGAATAGTTTATAGACTCGAAGAAGAAAAAGAGTCCATCCACTTGCTAAAATCTTATTCTTCTTGGTAAATGAAATAGAATAAAGCTTGTTTAACACTTAATTCTTTAACCATGACATAGATGTAATTTTTTAATGTGTGGAGGTCTCTTTCCCTGCAGGGTGTCTCATTATACATTGCTCGTAATACTTTCTGTGATACAGGTTATAATCTTAGATTAGCTATGCACACGGATACAAATCAAAGCAGTGAGTCTGCAGTGAAGAAAGAAGACAGTAACTGTCAGGTCTTAATTGTCAGCTCACTTTTGAATAAGTTCTGCTAACACATTTCTGCACATTAGTTTTTTATGACTTGCCTGCCATACTGATGTACAGTTGGTTACCATATCCTCAGGCTGAACCTTTTGATATTCAGATCAAAAACTTTTTTCAAGTTTTTTTTTTACCCCCCCTCCCTCTCTCCCACTGTAGAGGCACAATTAGTGTGCTTTATGTACCAAGGCAGCATTAGCTCTGGGGTTTTTAATCACATCAGGATTGACTTTGGCCATGATTCAAAGCACCACAGCACTGGAAATCGTTTCCCACCATCTCACATCACATGAGTTGTGTGATCTCTTGTCTGCGGCTCTCTTCACACTCGGTGCTCTCACCAGGCTTTATATGACTATTTTAATCACAGATTACTCCCCCTGATTTAGAATGTGAGGCTTTAGCATCCACGTGCACGCCACAGGACATGCCAAATGTAATCTTCTTGACAAAGTTATGTGAAATTTCTCCTGAGTTGATTGGCTTGGCAGCTTTTTAAGGTGGACAACTGCACCAAGAGAGCCATGATTAGAGTAATATGCCCAACTCTCTGCATGATGTTTGTCTCCCTTCACATAAAAATTGTTTTGAACGCAAAGCTTTGGGGAGGGGAGTCCTGTTTCTCTCAGCTCTTTTGATGAGCAGGCTTTTTGCGAGTGGACTGTGTGTCCTTGTGAACTTGCTCTTTTGAGACAGAGCAAGCAGTTCGGCTTCACGTGGCAGCAGGGGTGACCTACTCTGTCATGCCAGCCTCCTTTTTAGTCGGTTCTTCTGTGCCAGCGAGCAGGGTTCACTTTAAGCCAGCCTGCAGATCATTCAGAAGCTCAATCCCAGGTTCTTAAGTCAGTCTGAGGAACAGAAGCTTCACCATGAACGAGGAGTTGCTATATAAGTTGTCTGTAAGGCTGATTCGCTGTGGGACGGGCAGGGTAATTGGACCTGAAATGGCTGAGACTAAAGCCTTTGAAAACAAGCTCAGTGCTCATGGATGACTGTGCTGTAACACAAGTGTGAAACACAAAGCAAGAATGGCCCACCCACCAGATCGGGTTATTTTATTCCCTGAGAAGTAATAGACAAGACAAAAGGAGTAAAAATCTTGTTTCTGCGACACAGCTCCTGGAAAATGGGTTAAGATATTAACCTTTTGTGAGTGTGTGACTGTATTGAGAACATTACTCACTGTATTTAATTAGTACTAGGCAGGCTGAGGATAAATGTTTAACTATCCTTGTGATTGCTGACCTGATCCGAACTGAGAGGCCTGTGAGAAAAGCTAAGGAAATCCTAAACTCCTGATGTGAGCTGGTCGTTAGAAGTGTGTTAAACTCAGCAGCCACGATGCCCGACTGCATGTCAGACTTTAGCAGCACCTCCATCCATCCACTATACCAGCTTGCACTGGCTAATGTGAAATCCATTGCTAATTGTTCAGTAGGTACAAACGAAGGCCCAGCTCACCTGTTAAAGAGATTGAAAACGTCAGCTAAGCAACAAAGGAAGTTGTCATTTTGTTTTTCCTAAGCTGCTTTATCTTCATGTCTTAAAGTTTAATATATAAAATATATTAAAAAATGAATGAAAATGGTAAATGTGACGTTTTGAGAAATATGATTTCAATGTGACGGGACTGACTTTCCACACTTGTCTAAAACGGACTGTCTAAACTATCCTCTTAATTATATATTCTTTTTCTTTTTTAACTTGTTTAGTACTTGTTTACTCTGGTGTAGTCCTTATTCCCCACTCGCAGTATGTTTTTTGTTTCTCTGAGGGAGGTATTGTAAGCCTTTAGCTAGCGTGTATTATCTTCCTGTCCTCTGTGTGTGTTATCTCTCAGCTTCTAACTCTTCTCTGAACTGATCTGGGTTTATCTTGTCTCCCTTCCTTGTAGAGAGTTTTGAGGTGACCCTCACTGAAGAAGGTGATCTTGGGCTCTTTCTTCTGCCTTGTGCTTACTTGTTACTATTAACCCACTAACGCTAAAACCAGCATCCACACTTTTACACAGAAACTCCTCGTGCTCATGCTCTGTAAACTCCCCATTTGGTTTTCTTGACCTTGCGTTTTATTTTCTCACCCTGAAGTTTTTGCCGTTCCAACAGCTGGATGAAAAGTGTGATGTGGGGGCTGACTGTTCTTAGAAATATCTGTGCATGAGACATCCATTGCAGTTTGCAGACCCTAACAGTTTTTCAGCTGTCAGCAGGAAACAGAAGCCGCTTTAAAATAACACAACAACAAAAAAAAACCAGCAGTTCTGAGTCTCTTTGCCGTTTTTTCCAATTCGGTCCTTTTAATTCCCCGGAAAAAAAAAAACAAAGAAGGGGGAAAAAAGCAGAAGGCTAAAGCAATTTTCTGCACAACTCCAATTTAAAAGTCTGTGTAGGATTATTTTATAACCTCTTTAACATGCGGCAATTGGAGCAGAAATTGAAACTCTAATTGGTATTTTAAGAAGCTGAACCTTCTTAAAGTGTAACCATCTTAAAGGCACCGAGCATGCTCGGTTGTGGCCGTTAATGACCTCGTTATAGCTGCGCAATTCCAGTGACTCCTGTGAACCTTTCTGACATTTTAAGTCTTCACGTGAGATTGCTGAGATTGTTAACTAATGCAAACTCTCTCTGCTGCAAAGTTTCTGTTATCGCATCTTTGCCTCAGTGGATCTCTTGATTTCTAATTCTCCACCACTAATCTCTACCATTAGCATGGCTGCAGTTGTCATTTGATGTGGATGTCAAGCAAGTTGATATTTCTAACCCCAGTTCTCATCCAGTACTTTTGTTTTTGTTTGAAAACAGTTTTTGTACTGGTTTAGTTCTCTATGATTTCATGGTTTTCTTTTCAGTTCATTTTGCAGTAGTTTTGGGTCAGAGGCAAAATTACACAGGAAGACTTTTCTCAAATTGTGCCAAAATATTAAGCGTTGTCTGGGCTTTTTTTCCCCTTTTCTTTTCTTTTGCAGACATTTAAGCCGGGATGGCTGAATCTCAATGGTCTCTATTGTTTAGGATTTCAATTTTTGTTCCTATAATTTGTGTTATATATTGTTTCTCTCATCAGATAGGATGTAACGTTATTTTTTTTATTCTCCAACAAATATACTGTGCTCTATATGCTTACTTTTAAACTTGGTTTCATGACTTTTTTTAATATCTTAAGTACTCCTGTGAAATGCCTGTCCACATTTTTCAGTTTCTGCCTGCATGACTGGATGCAATGTTTTCAAGTGGCTTGGAAAATACACTCTCTGTACTGATACGTAATGTCACCCACCACCAAACTACTCACCCACACGGGCTTCCTTCACAGACCCCACACACCTCAATCTACAAGTCCCCGGCTCCCAAAACCTGTGGCTGACTTTGATTTGATTTTGTTTATTTTTGAGGCGTTTAATTAATTTGTTTTGTGGTTAATATAATTGCTTAATCGCTTCATTAGACGTTTAAATTTCACAGCGGTCGCCAGTTATTCTGAGCAAGCTCTGTTTTGGCTCTTAACATGTTCAGGTGAGATTTGCGGCTTCAGGATCCACGGGCAGAATGTCCCTTTTGAGGCAGTGGTCCTGGACAAGTCCACTGGAGAGGGGGTTATCAGGGCAAAGGACAAGCTGGACTGTGAGCTGCAGAAGGAGCACACCTTCACCATCCAAGCCTACGACTGTGGAGAGGGTCCTGATGGTGCCAACATGAAGAAGTCTCATAAGTGAGTTAACCCCTGCACTAAAAGTGTTGCACATTTATCTTTGAGCACATTTTCTTTGAGATAAAATGTTTTTAACTATCTAAAAAAATATGACACAGCAGTGGGAAGCCTCAGCTTTTGGCTCACAGGGATCACTTGTTCATACGCTACTATAAAGGAATACAAAAAGAAAAATCATTTTAGGTCTCCTAAGTAAAAAATCCTGATTGTGGTTCAAGTGCATCATCAAATCTGATGCATTTGCCCTGACGAATGGGTTATGAAAGCAAAGCAAGCACACAAGTGTGCAAATATAAATATGTGGTTTTGGCATAAAATCAAAAGCTGCGTTTTAAGTCTTTATGCTGATTGTTGGAACTGTCAAGGGAATCCTTTCCTGAATGAGCCGTATAATTATCCATGAACATTTGGTGACATGAATGCACATCTGGATTGTGAGGATTTCCAATCGGGAATGAATGGAATAAGGGTCATGATTAGATGGTTATTTGATTTGTCTGTCAACAGAAAATTAAGCTGCACCTTTTCAAAAAAAAAACAAAAACAAAAAAGATCAGTAGTGATGAAGTAATGATTACAAATAGAGTTGACTCAACACAAGAAGATTATTCTTTCCATCTGCAGTAATCAAACAAAAGCCAGGCCAGGGCTTAAAGTCAAGAATTTATTTTTATTTTAAACCACTCCAGGATTTTATAATTATCTATGAATGAGGATGATCATGTAAGGTCTCATTTTCATAATAAAATAACATAAATAAATAAACCATCGACTATCCAACCGATAAAGTGTCCTAACTTGAATATCTCCCTATCAGGGCCACTGTCCACATCCAGGTGAACGACATCAACGAGTATTCACCAGTGTTCAAGGAGAAGTCCTACAAAGCCACCGTCATCGAGGGAAAGAAATACGACAGCATCCTGAAGGTGGAGGCGGTGGATGCCGACTGCTCGTTCCAGTTTAGCCAAATCTGCAACTACGAGATTGTGACCCCTGATGTGCCCTTCACCATCGACAAGGATGGTACGGATGTTCACACAGCGCCTTTGTCTTTGTGCCCACTGGGAAAAAGCTGCAGCCCACGCCCAAGACTCATGAGTGCAATGACACGCTTCACAGTGCCTATTGATTAGTTTAAATGATGATGCTGCAGGCAGGCATTCTTTGAACGTCACCAAGCTGGTCAGTGATTAGTGCCGGATTTTAAGATAATTTCTTTTTATCTTTAACAAAAAATAAATAGAAAAAGTTAGAGCTGCTCGATTATGGCAAAAATGATAATCACGATTATTTTCACTGAAATTGAGATCTCGATTATTTGA